GCTGTAAGTATTTTGTTTAAATCATATGTAAAGTTATTTCATATACCCCAGAGACTTACTTAACGTGTCTGTTATGTACATTTTCAACCAAGCATACCTACGGGGTGTCCGGGAAATTGACATAAAGCTAAAATTGAGTTTGTCAGGTAATTTGTGAGACAGAATAAACAGAAGACAAAAACCTGAAGCAAAACAAAAATCATTAAAAGTTAAACTGGTGTCCTGATAATAATTTCTGTTTGTCAAACTTATGTCATTTTCTAACTTTTGTTTTCAGTTGTGCACATCCTTGACCACTGGTACAGATGGACGTCAAGTGTGTATGGAGCCTATCCTGGCCTGCTGCAAGTTGGGATTTGACAACATGGACGCTGTCACACCAACACCTCCATAAATGAGTGACGTGGAAGCTGAAAGAAGTGTGTGAATGTTGAGTGCAAACTATGTGAAAACGTTTGTTGTGAATGCAAACAATAATCAGATAATTATAAAATTACTCATATTTTTCATCTCACATGACTTAACTACATTGCATGTTCTGTTCATCATCAATCATTATTGAAAACACATTGGTTATTTATTTTATAAATAAAAATACGAAAACTCTATTTGTTACACACTTCCTTTGTCATACAAAATTGGTAATAAAGTTGAAATACGTGTCAGCATACACATGCAACACTGTTCTGAGAGGTAAAGGATGACTCAAGGGAAAAGGATTTCTGTTGGATCATAGCTTTGATAAAACACATGGTAACCCAAGAGAAAAGGATTTCTGCGATTTGGGGCACCCTGACTCTGAGGTCTCCCTATAGGCTTCCGTGTTCATTGATATGATAGCCCTGGTGTAACTGAAATATATTTAATTTCTAAATCTGAATGTCAGTGGAAATTATAATGGGAAATGGGTTAAAAGAACAAGAAGTCCAGTGATAATTGCATGTTATTGCCCCCGGCGTGTTGTTTCACTAGCATTTGCACTTAGACGGCAACACTTCAAGAAGAACACTATAAGAATGTTTGGGGAGTTTGCTATACAATACGTCCGTAACAGAATCATGAGAAATATACACATGGAAACAAGTATTGCAACACCGCATATTGTTCATTGTATTGATATATTACCTTTATCCATAGTAAAGGAACCTCACTATTAATTATTATCAAGATCAATCGACCCTCATGGAATAATTAATTGACAAATATATACGCCAAAAAAGAAAGAAAACTGTTGTGTATTCACAGAAGCGAACATGGCCAAAAATAACTCGACTGATAGTGCTGATAACAATGGTCGTATGATGTGGCGTCATTTTCAAATTCTGACATACGATCCACAAGAAATCACATCAATATCAATAACAGAGCACAATATCAATATCTGGTGTAACTTCTGTCACCTGCAATAACATCCCTGATCGTCTTCGTCATGACTGGCGTTCTGTTCCTTATGGAGGGCTTGTTCCAATACATCAAGACGTTGTACCGGAGGATCTACTTGGCGTATTCTGCGACCCATAATACCCACAACATGATCTATGGTATTGGGATCTGGGCTCCTTGCGGTCCAAGTTAGAGTTGGTTCCGCCTCTTGGCGTAGGGAATATTAAGTCTGTGAAACAATAAACACGACTGTGGCTTCCGGTCGTTTTGCAGCAGCAAAGGCATTTCGAGGGCTACTACTGGACCACAATGTCCCCCCAGTTCACAACCTCATATAAAGGTGTCCTTTTCAGGGACTTTGCAGGATGTAGCCAATGCCTAAATGGGTCTATATAAACAAATAAGCCGTAATGTTGAATAATTGTCTGCTTTCCACTTCTCATCTTAACGCCTTCATCTACATATTCATTTTTTCAAAGTAACTCCTGTATGTCAGATGAAATATTTTTGAGGCGACGTAAAGTTAAAATAACTTACTCAATCAGTCTATCGTCACCCAAGTTTGTTTGCTTAACGCCATTGTTAGCAATAGTCCAGCAATATCGCGGAGGGGGACACCAGACATGGGCTTCACACATTGTACCTATGTGGGGAGTCGAACCAGGATCTTCAGCATGACGAGCGAACGTTTTAACCACTATCCCACCTCTCGCCAGACAAGACATTCCAGTGATCAACAGCATGAGCATCGATTTACGCAATGTGTCAACCAAGTGCGAGTCTGACCACCCGATCCCGTTAGTCGTCTGTTACGAGAAGCTTGGGTTGCCGAAGACCAATTCTTGCGGGTCTTGCGGGTCTCTCCAAAGTAAAAACAGCTACATTGTGCTGGCACATATTCATTTTGAAACATACATTTTATGAAGCTAATGCCAATAGTCAACGGAATAATCTTGATCACCCAAAACGATGTCTTTTGTAGTTTGTGTTCAGAATCTAAACACATGCATTTATTATCTAAATCTGTATGTTAACGAAAATAACAATTGGAAAGAGTATACTAGAACAGGGAATCTGGTGTTTATTGCATGCCAAGTGGAAAAAGGTGTTGTCACTTCTATTCACTGACCGTGTTATGTTCTCAACACCTATATGAAACACGTAAAACTGTCTTAATGGTTGCATGCACAATAACAAATGTATAGCTGGAATATTTCTGAGTGCGGAGTAAAACTAAACTCACTCACTCACTCACATTCCACCTCAAGGTGGGAGGATAAGAATCACAATCAAAGGGATACTTGTAATGTACAAGCAATTAACTGTGGAAGAGTATACATACAACGTGTTCTCTCTATTAAGATTAAACCGTGGAAAACGCTTTCGGAGGACCATATTAACTCTTGCTCATTAATAGAATTGAAAGCTTTAATCAATGGCCCTGATGCTACAATAAATATGCAGTGACATAAACTTCAGCTCACGATTCTGTCATGGAATGCGTTATCGCCTTAGGCTCGGTGAAATATGGCTCACAAATTTAATCAACATTCGTCTGACAGGTCAAGCTGATAAATGGTCATTTTGAAGATGCTTCACATTTTTATTGTAAAAAGAAATATGATGCAAATATTGGATATAACATGCAATGTTACATCAGTGGTGATAACCTGAAAACGCCTTCAACAGGAGCTCTGTCTTTAGTGACTCAATTAACAAGGAAATTATTAAATCATTCAAAGGTTTTATTGTCCAAAGATTAATCTAAAAGTAATTTATATTTATTTTGGATAAAAATGTTAATTGTGATACTGTATTCCTTTATTTCGAACACTACTGGTTCCAATTTATTGTTACCCGTGAAGGTCCAGGTTAGAATTGATCTTCAGTAACCCATGCTTGTCGTAAGAGGCGACTAATGGGATCGGGTGGTCAGGCTCGCTGACTTGGTTGACACATGTCATCGGTTCCCAATTGCGCAGTTCGATACTCATATCGTTGATCACTGGATTGTCTGGTACCGACTCGGATTATTAATAGACTGCCGCCATATAACTGGAATATTGCTGAGTGCGGCGTAAAACTAAACTCACTCACTCCAATTTATTGTTGCAGACTAAATATTATGGTTCACTTATATGTAACAATATTGTGATATCTATTCATCTATTGACGTCTGTTTTGTGGTATTATAAACAATGTTTTGACTGTTTACCATTCGCATTCCCATGATGACTTTAAACCATAACGATACATGGATGTATGAGGTCACGATATACTGACACATCAGTACACATACCTCACCTTGATTGCATAATAATGAACTTGCATGCTTGAGGGTATAACCTTGAAATTAACTAATTGTACCTCTAATTCCAACGTATAAATTATGAAAAAGCCCTGGGATCCTGTAAATATCAATTTGTTAAAGAATACAAATAAATCGCCGTCAAATACAATATGTATTTGTTCTGAGTTTTCAATCTTAAACTATGTCAGCGAAAATGTATGGGGATGGGAAAGAGACATGTTTGCTCAACATTTCTTGATTCATCAAAACATATGCTGATACATTATACATAATTGTACATATTATTTTTCTCAAACCAGCTGGTCGCAATGCCAATTGATTATCATCTTCAATTCGTTTGAAATCTAAATATGTTGGTGCATTAGTTTGTATTTGTGTTCAGTCGATCGATACTTCCCAGTTTCATAAGCTTAAAAGTGAGTGAGTGAGGCCGCTTGTAGCAATATTCCCGCAATATCACGGTAGGGGAACACACGAAATGGGCTTCATACAATGCACCTGTGTGGGGAATTGAACCCGGGACTTCGGCGTGATGAGTCAACGCTTTAACCACTAGGCTGTTCCTATGTCCCAGGTGCTAAATACGTAAAACGTCCATTCCATTATGGTTGAAATAGAACTAAATTTTCTATGGTACGGTATGTATCATCAGAATATCCATCTTGTGTGAAGAACTATCCACTGAAATGGTTTATCTTTGTACTAAAATATTGTTAGAAATGTTTTTAAAAATAGTCTTGTATGACTTAAATGAAGTTCTGGGTGTCACTTTATGTAGAAACTGAAGCTAAAATGTTTACATTTTCATGGGCTATGAGACATTTCATTTTATGTGATCGGCCACTAAACCATTTACTCTGAGGTGTTAGAACCTTTACAATAAGGCTGTGTTCCCTTTTCACCGCAATGCTTGCAACATCTGACACCAGGTGTGACATTATATACTTCAATATATTCTTCATATTCCCATTCTGCAGTTTCCCTTCTGGTATAGGGGTTCAGGTCAAACGGTTCGGATGTTAAAGTCAAATAATCAAACAATAAGTTAAATCGGCTAGTGAAAGCAACATACAATCCATGTAGTTGAAGCAAAAGTCACCTGAAACAGCTTGTGAGTAAATAGAAGTGTATAAAGAAGGATTGCCCATGAATGAACGTGGGAACCACAACATTGCATAACCAAATACACGTCGTGGAAATTTCTCTGACGTAATTAATTACCGGCTTGTTACACCTGTAGTGGTATATAAATCTAGTCAGATAGATACCGGCATTAACTCAGGTTCTTCTCGAGTACAGTTCTACCATGGCTTTCCTCGCAGTAGCTCTTCTATCTGTCATAGCTCACCTGGCTTTGGGTCAAGGTTTTGGACAGAGCAATACAGGTGTTGGTCAAGCTAATGCAGGATTTGGTTTGGGTCAGGCAGGAGGGTCTTGGGGTCAAGCTGGATTTGGAGTTGGTGGAATTGGCGCTGGTGGATTTGGTAACCATGGACGCGGGATTGGTGGAGCAGGATGGGGTCAAGTAGGAGCAGGATTTGGCCAGAACATTGTCAACCCTTTCCTGAGTGAGTATTAATGCACAATATAATTTACAACCAGGTTAACTTTCATTCGCTTTATGATCATCGAACACCCGACAGTATTGTATATTGATACGGGAATACTTCAGGTGTCTTCCCGATACCCAAGTTCACTTGACATGCGGGATGTGTTGACAATATGTTATGTGTTACAAAACGATGTTTGTATTTGAGGGTCCAGAATAGTAAACGGTTAGATCCTAAAACATAATTGCACATTTACTTACCATTAAACGCCTATTTGTATTATATATGGGGTAACGTAAGGGTTTAATCTTATTTTCTTTTTGCCCCAGATACAACCATCACATGCACTGGAACAGCAACAGGGTTTGCCTTCTCTGCGACCCTAAGGAGGATGCAGCCATCTTGGGGAGGATGGGGTGTAAGTAGTGTTTACTTTGTTCATCGACTTCCAGTGAAACTAGGTTGAGATTGACATGGCATAGCAGGAACATGTTTAGTTGGGATGGAGGTTCCGTCAGGGGGTAAATGTTCGGGTTAAGGGTATACCTAAAATAGTAAACACTAAACTAATACAGCTGTTGCTCCATCTAAATGGTTTTGGTCAATCCAATTGTATGCCTTTGAGAAACCTTTTTGAAGGAAAGAAACAGACACATAAGTTTGATTGGGGCTTATACGCCCACTTTGGGCCGTTCCCAGGTTAATTAAGATTCGACCTGATTGACAGTAAGCGGAATTGTGGCGATACAATACTCTATGATATAGTTCCCATTATTTACGGGATTAAATTCCTTCGTGATATTTGAGATTATTTGTTTGCAAATGGAATGACTTCAGCGTGACGAGCGAACGCTTTAACCACTGGGCTACCCCACCGCCTCTTTGGTCACTACAGCTCAGCAATCGACACTTAACATAGTAGGGTGTTCACACAGCACAGTGAATATAATTCATATATTCTTTGGATTTCAGCTTGGTCGATCTCGCAGTGGTTTGTCTGGATCTGCCGTTCTGAGGACTACAACCGCATCAGGAACCTACAACCTCGTCATCACTGAGAGGTCTCGTGTGGAGGCTGGATGTACCGCTGATGGACTTGGACCTGTCATTGGAAGGTAGGGACGGGGTGTTCTTGATATGGGTCGTTTGGATTGGGTTGGATTAGTTAAAACCATATTGGGAAAGTATTATGTATTTTTGGGTTTGAACCACACACGTTTAACGAGTGTTTAAAGAATTTTCACATGTTTACGCTTGAATATAACTTTTATCACGACCGGTAAGGGGAGTTGTCTAATGCATCTTGATATCACACAATGTCTATTCAACAGCAACGTTTGGGGCCAACGTCAAGGTCTTGGTCAAGGCTGGGGTCATGGTCTTGGTCAACAGTGGGGTCAAGGTCTTGGTCAGCAGTGGGGTCAAGGTCTTGGTCAACAGTGGGGTCAAGGTCTTGGTCAACAGTGGGGTCAGCCATGGGGACAGCAGTGGGGACAAGGTTCATGGGGCACCGGAACGACCACCACCCCCGGAGTTGTCAGCTCTGTCACCCTCACTACCAACCAGGAGACCATCGTTGACTTGGGTACTGCCAACCTACCATTCAGAGAGCTGGAGAGATATGGAGGACGTGGGCTGGCTGTAAGTCATTTCATAGTCCCCAGAGACTTTAATTATGTCTGTTATGTACATTTGTAATCAAACCCACAGACGGCGTGTCAGGGAAAATTAGTGTAAAACTGAAATACGATTTGCCAGGTAATTTGTGAGACAGAATTAACAATGTGTTATTTACTCTACCTTTTTACACTTTAATTCTGTCTCATTAAAGAAAAAAAAAACAAAGCAGGGGCATCAGATTAGGTCCGTAAGAATTAAATTTGTTTCGTTTTCGTCCTGAAAATAAACACTGTGAAACGTATGACATTAACTTACTGCTATTTTCAGCTGTGCACATCCTTGACCACTGGCACTGATGGACGTCAAGTGTGTATGGAGCCTATCCTGGCCTGCTGCAAGTTGGGATTCGACAACATGGACGCTGTCACACCAACACCTCCATAAATGAGTGATTTGAAAGCTGAAGCAAGTGTGTGAATGGTGAAAGCAAAATGTGTGAATAATCGATTTAATATTTATTGTCAAATTGTTAATATTCAATATAAGCATAACATTTCTCATAATTTCATCTCATGTGACTTAACCATATTGGTTGTACTCATATCCCTGTATGTTCTGTTCATCAACAATCATTGTCAATGCCCATTGGTTGTATATTTTCTAAATAAAAAATACGAAAACTCTATATGCTACGTACTTCCTTTGTCATAACAACATTGGTTATAATGTGCAAAAACGTGTCTGCATACCCATGCTTTGAGAGACGAAAGGGTGACTTAACTCAAATGCACAGAATGTATGTTGACTCATAGCTTTGATAACACAAATGGTGACCATAGTGAAAAGGATTCTGCCATTAGGGGTACCTTGGCTCTGAGGTCTAAGAGCGGTCGGAATTAATTGTGTGCACTATAGGCTTCCAAAGCAGGGGTAAAACTGAAATATATTTATTTTCTAAATCTGTATATCAGTGAAAATAATAATGGGTAAAGGGTTAAAAGAGTCCAGTATTTATTGCATGTTATTGCACCTGGCGCCTTGTTTCACTAGCATTTGCAGAAAATAAGAGACAACCACACATCAAGGAGAACACAAGTTCACTATAAGAATGTTTGGGGAATTGGTCTGCTATACAATAAGACGTAATTGAACCAAGAAGTATACTCATGGAAACAAGTATCGCAACACCATCTATTTTTCATAGTATTGATGCTATTAATTATTACCATTATCGATACCAAAGTAACCGAAATGTGACTTACAATATGGATAAATCCATACCCTCATAAAATAATTAAATGCCAAATCTAAATAGATAAAGAAAAGTGTAGTTTATTCATAGAAGCAAACATGGCAAAATAGACTTTATAGGTTTGATAACCTTACACGATTCAAAGTCAATACTGAGTGTAACCTCCATGTGACTGTATGACAGACAGCACTCTCCTCCTCATACCCCCTGTCAGCCTCCTGATCCTCTGCCAACGGCAGTCTACGCCATTCTTCGTGTAAAGCAGCTTCCAATTGGACCAGGTTCTGTACAGGAGAATCCCTTTGTTGCACACGGCGACATGTCCCAGTTCTTTGTATTCTCCTTGTTTCAACTCTTTGTATCACTTGCTTGAGAACGGTGTTAGTACCTACATCGAAACGTCGCACTCATTGCAATAAAGAAGTTGATTATCCGTAGAACTTGGTTTTCCTTCACCTATACAACTCCTAAAATGCCTCTCAAAGAAGGAATCACCGAAACAGTTGGATAAACAGTGGGGCGCGGTGGGCGAGCTGGGCGAGCTGGCTAAAACGCCAGGCTAGTGATCCATCGAGCTTCAGGTGTCGGGATCGAGCCCACCTGTGACCGGGTGTAAAAACCTTGGAGTCAAGTTTGTTTGCAGAGTCTTTCAGTGTTGTCACAGCCCTGTGCACTTAAAAGAACCCACGAATCCGTTGGTATATGACCAGATGGTGGCCACATGAATACGTGCAAACACCTAGTGTCGGGTACAGCAACGTGCAGTGAACTTGGACAAAGTACTGTGACTATGTGTCCCTGTCCACCCAGCTGTGAATGGGTACCTCGTTAGGATGAGAAAGCCACAATACCTCGGTGCGCCTAGTGGCTGCAAGAGTTGTATGATCCCTGGGGAGTTGAGATTGATAATACGATGTGCCGTTGAGATTGACATCCATTGATCGAGGGAAGTACCAGCGCCTTGAGCATGTACTAGTCACGTGAATATGTGCGCTATATAAATATCATGTAATAATAATAAAGGTGTCCGGTGCCTTTTCAGAGACTTCGGATATCGCCAGTCCCTGAATATTCGCCTTTAAACAAATAAGCCGCAATGCGGAATCATGATCTGTTTTTCACTTCTCATCTTATTCTCATCTTCGCCATCGTCAACATATTTATTATTTCGCATGTAACCCCTGTATGTCAGATGAAACATTTTGAGCGCGACGTAAAGTCAAAGTTAGTAACTTCATTTGTCTCTCATCACCCAGGTGTTTTAGTTTGTTTAACGCCGCGCTTAGCTCGACAACCATGGGTTGCTGAAGAAAGATTCTAGCCCGGAGCAAAACAGCTACATTGTGATGGTATTGAGATATACATTCAATAGAGCTGATGTCATTAGTCAACGGAATATTATCTTGATCATCATAAAAATAATCGTAGACCATAATCTGCTATATAATAAAAAGAAAAGCGACCCCCCCCAAAACAACAACAACAACAACAAAACAAACAAAAAACAAAACAAAACAAAAACAAGCACCAAAAAAACAAAAACAAAAAACATCAAAAAACAATACAAAACAAAACTGCCATATTCTAAAAATATTGTCTTCAATATGTTTGAGCTCTTAACATGCAAAGATAATTGGGATTGTCATAGTTCGTGTTCAGGTTCTAAACATCTGCATATCAGTAAAAATAACACTAGGAACGGGTTTACATGAACAAGGAATCTAATGTATATTGTATGCCATTGACCGTGTCTCTGAATTTTGTTCTGAACACCTACATGATTGAGTGAGTGAGATTGTTTTACGCCGCACTCGGCAACATTCAAGCTATATGGCGGCAGTCTGTAAAAGTCTGGACCAGAAAATCGAGTGATCAACATCACGAGCATCGATCTACGCAATTGGGATACGATGACATGTGTCAACCAAGTCAGCGAGCCTGACCACCCGATCCCGTTAGTCACCTCTTACGACACACATGGGTTGCTGAAGATCAATTCTAACCCGGATCGTCACGGGTAACACCTACATGAAATACGAACTATCTTCAACGGTTGCATGCACAAACAAAAATGTAATTAATTCATTACAACTCATGCAGAGTTAGTATATTGTCAGTTTGTCCTTAAAGGTGACTATTATACAAAGCCGGTTCTGGATGCTGTCATAGATTGCATTATCGCCAGAGGCTCGGTTTTGTTATTCAAGTCTCATAAATTGAATCGACGTTTGTCTGACAGGTCAAGCTGCTTATGGTCATGTTAAAGATCCTTCACATTCTTGAAAGATATGTTATGCAAATATTAGAGATCTTACGCAATTTTACACCAGTGGTTATAACCTGAAAACGATTTCAACAGCAGCTCTTTCTTTAGTGACTTAGTTAACAAGATATTATTAAATTTTATTGTCCAATGCAAAATCTAATTGTACTCTAAATTTATTTTTGGTAAAATGTAGTATTCTTTCAGCTCAGACGTCAATGGCTCTGGCTCATTGTTACAGGGTTCTTCTTAATATTATTGTACGCTTGTATTTAACAAGAATGGTTTTATATCTATTCATCAGTTGAAACCTATTTTGTGGTACATCAACACTGTTTTGCCGGCTTGTTTAAAAATAATGGTATATGTATGTTTTGGGTCAAAATATGCTGACACATCAGTATTCACAAACCAAACCACAGCTTTATTGCATTGATTACATAATAATGAAGCTGTTGCTTGAGGGTATATCCCTGTAATTAAGTTATTCCACTTCAAATTTCATATTATAAACTATGTAAAAATCCCAAGGACCCATTCATGTCAGTTTGTTCGTGGAGAAACATAAACCTCCATGAAAGATAATATGTATTTATTCTGAACATGTTTTCAATCTACAGCTGCATACTAAAATGTATGGGGATATAGGAAAGGGGTGATTTGATCATTATATATACATCATCAACAAACGGATAATCACATAACATGTGATGATACATTCTGAAACATTGTATTCTCCTCAAACCAGCTGCACGCAATCCTAAATGAATAATGTCTCCATTGCGTTTGAAATCTATACGTGTTTGTGCATTGAAGGACATTTGTGTATGGTCGAGCGATACATCCCCGCTTCACGCATGTAGGTTCTAAATACGTACAGCGTCCATTTCGTTATGGATTTCATAGACTTCAACTTTCTCTGATACAAAATGTCCTTCTTGTGTAAAGAACTATTCACGGATTTGTTTTATATTTGGACTAAAAATATTTTATGATATCTTTTTAAAAATCTTCTTGTACACTCTAAATCACTTTATGTAGAGACTGTAGGTGAAATCTGTCGATTTGCATGGGCTATTAGACATTTTCGTTTCAAGTTTAGGTCACTAAGCCATTTGCTCTCAGATACTGGAACCCTAACAACAGATCGTATTTCGTTTTTATTGCAATGCCTACTATATCCGACACCAGGTGTTCGAAAAATGGGGTATGCATGCCTCGTGACCTGTGGAAGGGATTATTCATGGAAATAAGTAATGCATTGATTGCGCCTGAATGAACGTGGGAGCCACAACATTGCGTAACCCAAATAAACATCGTGAGAAAATGTCCAGCGTGAAAGAGATATATATTAATGAGCGCCTCGTTCTTAACGTATCCTTGATGCCAGTCCTTAATTGCATATGTTACATGGGATAGGACTTCTCTTTCATTTCCGTGGCATAATTACCGGTAATTACCAGCTTATTATACCTGTAGTGGTATATAAACCCAGTCAAATAGACACCAGCATTAACTCAGGTTCTTCTCGAGTACAGTTCTACCATGGCTTTCCTCGCAGTAGCTCTTCTATCTGTCATATCTCACCTGGCTTTGGGTCAAGGTTTTGGACAGAGCAATACAGGTGTTGGTCAAGCTAATGCAGGATTTGGTTTGGGTCAGGCAGGAGGGTCTTGGGGTCAAGCTGGATTTGGAGTTGGTGGAATTGGCGCTGGTGGATTTGGTAACCATGGACGCGGGATTGGTGGAGCAGGTTGGGGTCAAGTAGGAGCAGGATTTGGCCAGAACATTGTCAACCCTTTCCTGAGTGAGTATTAATGCACAATATAATTTACAACCAGGTCAATTCGCTTTATGATCATCGAACGCCCGACAGTATTGTATATTGATACGGGAATACTTCAGGTGTCTTCCCGATACCCATGTTCA